TTTTTTTTTTTTTTTTTTTTTTTTTTTTTTTTTTTTTTGTAAACTGGACCCTGTTTCTAAGTCCAAATATTACCATCTTTTTTTCGATTATTTATTTTTTATGTTGTTGATGTCCCTGATGTCCGTGTTGACCTTGGTGTCCGTGTTGACCTTGATGACCCTGGTGACCCTGCTGTCCCTGATGCCCTTGCTGATGATTGGGATTGTGCTGAGGTGGCAGTTGGAGTGGCGGAGGATCATTTGGAGGAGAGGGTTGTGGCTTAAGTTTTGGTGCTTTGGGTGGCTGATTACTCATTTTTATCTGCGGTTGAAGATGACAATGCCCGAAGTGATTGGTAGATCGTAAAGCTGGTCTTTTATACAAAAATGAAGGGGTAAACAGTTCATCACGTGACGGATGATCATTTTCCTGAATATCTCTGTAAACAATGTTTTCCAACCCAAAATGATATAAATAGAGGGTACAAGGTAGCACCAGCACTCTAATTGGGACGGTAAGCAGTGAGAACAATTAAAATAAGAAAATATTTAATCAAAAGAATACGGAATAAATAAGTAATAGCTAAATGAATAAACGACAGTTAAATAAATAAATTAATAATTAAACAAATACAATGAGCATAGTACGCAGTAACAAATTCAAAGGCTTTTTTTATGATAAGTCAGGGTTTGAAAAAAGGGATTATACTTTTTTTCTTGTTCGAAAAACAATACATTGATAAGGAAAGGGCGTATTAAGTTTTAAGAACTTTTGCCCAATCCCGGTTGTAAAGTTTATAGACAATAAAATATGTTCAAACCAATAAGTTGATATGCCTGTAAATTTTTTTTACATGTTATAGGTCTGGAAGCATATGCATACGTGACAAAAAGTCTTTGATTGTAAGATTCATTATTACAATTGCATTTTAGGCTAACTTGGATTTAATATTCTACATGTGGTTCGTTGGGTTCACATTTCATTAAGGTGCGATTTTTCTACGTCAAAAAGCTCGATTACCAGTACTAATTTCCCAAACATTTTTATCACGTTTTCTTGTTCTATTTTGAGTCATATCCCGCTCAACACAGTGCTGCTTAATAATTTGGTGCTCCACACTATTGCCAAACGCCACCATTTTTGACAATATCTGGTTAAAAATGTCCTGGCATATAACGTCATATATTTGTCAATAATGATGTCAAATTAATGAATTTTTATACACGAGTACACCAGATCAAAGAGTATTTGACTTGTAATTATATTCAGTTTCATGAATTTGCGACTAAAATTAAATTTTAAATTACAGCCAAACCGTCAAGGGAATTCTAAAATGGTTACTATGAGAGGCATTTTCTTAAAGCAGGGAATCATATCTAATCAAAGTAAATGTAACGATACTAAAAAGTAATACATGCACTTCTTTACTTTTTCCTGTTTCCTATCTTTTCTCATTGGTTTCAAAGAATTTTCTCCCTTCTTGATAAAGAAGTAATTATTCATTAAATAAATGTTCGTACATATTGTTTTTATTACTTATTGTGATAAGTGTAAAATAATTTAGTTTTTGAAAAAAACTTCAAAAACAGGGTTGATTTAGCGTATTTCACACTATTACGACAGTGCCAAGGATAAAAACTACTTATAACAAGATTATGCCCCCAAAAAGGGAAAAATAACTTTGATAAGAAAAACAACAAGGATATAAACTTTAGACACTTCTCGTCAATTTTTTTTTCATCAAAGTTAATCTACGGTCACTTTTAATACATTTCTGATTCAAATAAGATTCTATTTAAATATCAAATCAAACACTCTGAAATATTCCCTAAATGAGTATGTTTTTGCAAACATATCTCTGCAATTTTTTTCGGGTAAGGGGGAGGGGATGGAAGACAAAAACAAAGCATTTTATTACGTCTGTTATCGAAAGTAGGACTGAAAGTCGCTAAATATAGGGTCTTGTTTTAGGACAGAAAATGATGGTTGCATATCGCGTTAGGCAGGAAGTCGCTGAATAATGGTAACATATGAATGATGGTGAAATTTAACGGTCGCATATGACAAGAAGTCACTTAATACAGGTGGTGGTTATGACAGGTATAACTGTACATCATATATAATCACTATGAGATGTACAATAAATCATACAGTAAAATATAGAAAAAGGGACGAGTCCGACATTCTTTTCATCAATACCCCTGTTCTTTTCACCAATCAAACCACAACGTTATTAGAAAGTGACACATTGAATCTGTAATGAAAAGCTCTGTTCAATGATTTATACTCAAGATCAATACGACATCATGGGACTGCAAGTTTATTCAAGAGAGATATTTTTGCTTATCATAAATGTGTTAAAAGAATATGTAGATAAACTGAATCTGTGAAGTTTTTCTAAACATTAATCCCTTGGATTAGTACATGTATTGCTTAGAGAATTTCTATGATTCCTTTCAAGCTCATAATGCTATAAGTGTTGTGAAGGAAGTGTATACCGAAGTGAGGAATGTACACACCATACCTTTTCCCAGCCCCCAAGAATAATGATCGAATTCTAAAACCTTGAGTCTTCACCAGAAGGACTGACTGTGGGCTTCAATAGTGGTTTGAAAAAAAAAAGAAGACTTTTGAAGATTGTTTCCCTGTACATCTCCATGTAAAACACTCTTTTAAAATCTACGAGGGTTGTCCCAGAAATACGCGAACATTTTCAATATCTTTTGTTTCACTAATACATTATAATCAACATTTTTGAATAATGCATAAAAATTTCAATGAAATATCTCCATAAACAACATTTTTCTCTCAGGTAAAGGAATCTTACAAATCAGTTGTCGGCGCAACACTGACGACGTCAAAACGTAGCTTGTGGCGTTTGTGAATTTGTTCTGGAAATGTGCTTCTGATAAAAGTCGTTTAAACATAAACTCGGCACTGTATTTAATTTTCTTTTATTTACCAAGTAATATATCTCAAATACTAGTGTTACCAAAAGATTGCAGAGTTAATTCTTTTAATAGACAATTTCTCAATCCCGATAATAAACCTAACAGTTCGTATTGTTTAACGGCGGCCTTCACTTAGGCCTACGACGTCCAGCTCCTGATTTTCAGTTTGTCTTCATTGTTGTTGGTCTACAAAACGCCTCTTCTATTGGATAACCAGTCAATCCATCCTCAAACCTCTTCAACTAGGGATAAACCTGTGATTTATGTTTCTGGTTTTCCATCGTTAACATCTTTTTTATAATATGGATAGGACTCATATCCCGCTCAACACAGTACTGCTTAATAATTTGGTGCTCTACATTATCACCAAACGCCACCATTTTTGACAATATCTGGTTAAAAGTGTCTTGGCATATAACGTTATATATTGGGCAATAATGATGTCAAATGTAATGAATTTTTATACACGAGTACACCAGATCAAAGAGTATTTATGGAGGTAAATTTTTTGATATTATATTTCCGTATAGCCTGGTAATAAAGAAAACTTCATTGACAATGCTACCTTTAAAAGTCAAAAAATTGCCGTGCGCCGACCAACGATATTTAACACCCTTTAAATGCTGTTTTTATATACTTGTGACATCACAAGCCTAAAATATTTTGTCAAAATACCGAAAATATCATTTTCCAACAACGTTCAAAAAATTATTAGTTTTGGTCATATAGTTTCCGAAATATTCAAAAAGTTCGCGTTTTTCTGAGAAAACCATCGTATATACTCGTACACTCTTTTTGTGACCTAACCTAAATTCTGGAAGACATGTGAAGAAAATTTTTTGAAAAAAATGGGGATTTGTTTTTGCAAGTAGGGAAAAAGAGAAAAGAAAAACATTATATTCCTTGCAGCACTTGTGAGTTATGAACTTCGACCAATTTCTGGGCCTCATTACTTTAAAAATATAGAATACTTTTTTGTAAATCTAACCTTAAATATTTTACAATAAGTTTAAGAATATAAAAATGCAACATCTGAGTTCACTGATGTAAAATGAAATAAGCACCGAAATGCTATGCAGAAAATCAAAATATAACTCTGTGTTGAAAATATAGAATACCATTTATTGCAAAAAAAAAAAAAATGTAGGGAACATTTTATAATTTTTCACTTTACCATAATTATATAAATATGTATATAACAACATGTGATACTAAAAAGCTTAATTACAGGGCAATAAATACCTAAACAGCTGTGGAAGATCTACAGTATATGACGACAAGAAAATCCCCTAAGAATATATTATACATGTAGTTGAGAAAAATTCATAAATACATATGTATTAAAATATATTGATTATACTTTAAACACAGAAAAGGAAAGTTAACCTACTTCACATAAAACTTAATTTACAGGACTGTATTATGATTCCACTGTTAAATGTACTCCAAATTCACTTTCTTTTTAAAAAAAAAAAATGAAGATTTTTTTTTTCAAGAAAACTTATTGATAATATATATATTTTTTGGTCATCCAAACCAAAAATAAATTGCAGAATAGTGTATGGCATAATATAAAGAATTAATTTTGCAAAAACTTCTAGAAAACATTATAAAGAAGATAACAGTAAAATTCATTAAGTGTCTACATAAGATATAGGAGAAAAATATAAATTTATGCAAATTTGATATAAAATTGAAAGAGATGGTCAAGACAGGATAATATAAATAATGCCTAAGGACTTCCAATGACAACAAGTATGTCATATATATAGAACAAAACAGAAGTTTAAAAAGCCTTGTTCTATACTAGTTAGTCTTCACAAATGTACACGTATATAGTGTAATTACACTCAATATTGATTTCACAATTCATGTATATTATAAATTGGTAAAATAAAGAATAATTTGGCTTTTGTATCTACCAATTAGAATACATAATTATACATGTAATCATTTAACAAAACTTACAACATGAAAATGAATATAATGCATAATTGCACAGAAAACAACATTACTGAAAGATTGAAGCACAGAGAGACAACAAGTAAAAAATCATATAACCACATCATGTAAAATAAATATCAACAGTAAGATTTAATTCAATTATAAAGAAATATTACAGAACTTTTTCTTCTAATATCTAATATATCTTTCAATTAAAAAAACAACCTTGGTATATATAGAATGTCTTTCTAATCAGAAGAAAAAAAGAAAAAAAAATATATAATAAAACTGGACGAATTATTATGGAATTCACTGATCACATTTTTTTAAAACAAATTTTCAATTTATCAGTTATGAGAAAATAGAAATATATAGGTAAATTAAAAAGTAAATGCTTCTTCTGTATTGTCATAGTCTGTAATGGGAACTATTCCATCCAAAACATACACTTATAATGATTCCAAATCAATATTATGTGCACCTCTCCATTCCTGCCTACTTAAACAAAATATCTACTGACAGTAGATATTTTTGTTTACTTTCTTTGAACAAAATTTAAATTTTGAGTGCAAATCACATAATAAACGGACACTTTAATCATTTTACAGCAGTGGCAATGTGGCAAAAAAGGAATTTCCCTACCTTTTCCTACTTATATAGGAGAACTAAAATAAATAGTTTTGCCTATCCTTTGTTAATCAATAGATTATTGTATTAAGCCACTTTATGTTTTGAAAAAAGGCATCGTCATAATAGAACAAACATCCATTCTAAACAGAAAAACTGATTAAGTTATTTTCATATGTAAAAATTAAGGTCCATTTACTATCTAATTAGAAAGGTACTGGGTTGAATAACTATACCTTTCGTAAAACAGGCAATTACTATTTACATTTTGCACTGAAGGGTTTACTAAAATTTGTATATTTTATTTTTTTTTTAATGCATTATCAATAGAGCCAAATTTTATATGAGCGAATCTAGGGAGATGAAACTCAATATGTAAAAAAAAAATAACATCTTTTGTGATGCAGATTACAATATACAAAGTAAATGAACAAAAAATACACGGAGCTTTCATTTAGACACATCAAATTATGAATCTTTTCATGTTCATAATGCTTGATATTTTATATGGAAATAACATAACATATAAACACCACTACTAACAATAATTCATTTTTTGTATTTTCATCTTTCATCTGCATCAATTGGGTACTCCATCTTGACAAAATCATAGCATTATATCAATTTTAATGATTAGTTGTCTAAACTAGTCTCATGAATGACTCTGTACAAAAGAAATATTTTTTTAAAGAGAAAGTTTAACAGATATAACAATTCATTTCAAAACATTTAATTCAGACATGCAAAACAGAATACAGTTTCTCTTCCATAAATTGAACAAAAATACTAGTATATGTTAAAGAAGGTGGGGTGGGGCTTTAAAGATTTTATCTCTCTCATGAAGCATTTTAATAAATATTGTACTTTATCCATTTTCACAAAAATATATTTACAATTTCAATGAATATTTAGCTATTATAGTAGTTGTGGTATACTTTAATATTGAAAATGTTAATAATATCTGACACAGCCTTAGATAAAATATGCATTCAACAACATTTTAACAAACATTAAGTTACTTCCATCATGTAACACTTTGACCCACTTTGATGAATAACTGCAATTCCATCACAATTAAATAACATGTCACTTGTAAATAAATGGAGTACACATAGATATAGGTATTTGTCTTCATTATCAGAAAGTAAAAGCTAATAATTAAGAGACTTTTGAAAATAGTTGTAAAATACTGTAATTACAAGACAATCAAAGAAGCTGCAAGACAAACAGAGAGAATCACCAAAGACCAAGAGCACCTGACCTTAAACAGGGTTCATTAAATGACCTCTGACCTTATAACAATGTGATTAACATGAACACTTAGAGTCACTGTTGAACTCATCCATTTCATTTTTGTGTAGGCGTCGTCCATTCTGTGCATGGGGTCTCTGTGTTTTGTCTACACATTGTTCCATACGCAACATGACCATGTCCAGCAGACATTCCACTACCTTGGCCACGTTCTGTCCTGTGGCAGCACTGGTCTCAAAGTATGGAAGCCTGTTTTTATACAAAACAGAAATAAAAATCATAAATTTTATACATGAACCATTATTACTATTGTGATTATCGTAATTTTTGTGCAAAATTTCCAAATTTAAAGTAGAAAAGCTTTTGGACAATATTGTAGCATATTTTTTTCCACAAGTAATAATCCTGTGGAATCGCAACTTTTTTCCAATCTGCAAGTAGAAAATAATGTGGATTTCTTAGACTGCCCCAATATATGACTTGAGTTTACTTTAAATACGCTGGGACAAATTTCTGTGGAAAAATTGCAACCCCATAGATAACATAAATTAAATATTTCACAGAATAAAAGTACTTTACAATATTCTCACCCATGTTTCTCAGCCATCTCCCTTGCTCGTTCTTCTGTGACTTTCCTCTGGTCCTCTAGATCAGCTTTATTCCCACAGAGAATGATGTCTGGGTTCTCACAGTAGGCATGGGTCTGGAGCTGGGTCAACCAGTTTCTGATGTTGAGGAACGACTGCTCATTAGTCAAGTCAAACAGTAGAATAAAACCCATTGCGTCTCTGAAGAATGCTGTTGTAAGGCTGCGGAACCTGAAGAAAAGAACATATTGCTCATGCTCAGTAAACGAGGTGGGATCAGGTGCCTAGGAGACATATAAATTGCCTGTTGACAAGTCACACAGCCCTCAGGTATACAAGTATAAAGTAATCTGTAGTCAGATTTAGTATAAAGGCTAATACGAAAATTGTCTGCAAAAATTTTATTTAACAATTCAATCAATCAACAGATTGTAAATGTTGCATTTGCAATATCAGAGTTGTAAAAATTAAATAAAAATTAATGAACACGCTTTTTTATAGCTCGTAATTCTCAACTTCTCTGCTACCCTCACAGCTACATGTATCTAATTCTATCAGTTTTCGAATCCTTGATTCCTTCTTCAGTGCTAAGCACTGTTAACATGGATATTTAACATTTGCTGTTTATTACAAATTATTACAAATTAGAAACTAAGCACATTATGAATGGAGATTATTCCAATTAAGAATTATGTATTGTTAAAACTGAATAAAACATAAAAAGGTGTCGGGATGCAAGAGAATATTTATGCAAAATCTTTCTTATCCCATATTTAGTGTATATTAACACAACGAATGAATATCCACAATTACAGTAAGTCTATCAGTTTTCATATCAAATTCCTTATTCCTTCTATACATTCTACAGTACTTATTACTTTTATCAGTTTTCATAGCAAATACCTAATCCCTTAATCAGTTTTCACATCAAGTTCCTGATCCCCTCTTAAGTACTAACAAATTTTATCAGTTTTCATATCAAATTCCTAATCCTTTTTTTCAGTGCTTACTTATTCTATCCCATTACATATCAAAGTCCAAATTCCATTTTCAGTGCTAATTTATTCTATCTGATTTCATATCAAATCCCTATTCCCCTTTTCAGTGCTAACTAATTCCATCTTATGTCACATCAAATCCCTAATCCCTTCTTCAGTGCTACATGTAACTTATTCTTAATTCATATCTAATCCCTAATCCCTTCTTCAGTGCTAATCAAATCCCTAATCCCTTCTTCAGTGCTAATCTAATCCCTAATCCCTTCTTCAGTGCTAATCAAATCCCTGATCCCTTCTTCAATGTTAACTTATTCTGATTTCATTTTTAATCCCTAATCCATTTTCAGTGCTTACTACTTCCATCTGATTTCATATCAAATCCCCAATCCCTTTCTCAGTGCTAACTTCATTTCAAAGCCTTAATCACTTCTTCAGTGCTAACTAATTCTATCTAATTTCATATCAAATCCTTAATCCCCTCTTCTGTGTCAATGTGTCCTCACCTCTCTTGACCTGCAGTGTCCCACAACTGTAGATGGATTCTGTGGCTTCTTCCAACAACTCCATCTGCCCCTGGTACACGGTGCACCTACAGAACAGTACATACATGTTACAGTCTACAGTTAAGAAGACTGGGAAAAAGGAAGCCTTCAAATAGGGTAATCATTGTTTCATTTCAGAAATCAATTCCAATATAGACAGCGAGCTTTGGAAAGAGGTGATCACAATTTTATTAAAATTTACAGAAAGAGAGAGAGATGAAAAAAAATATATTCATGATAGTGTAAATATCTAATCAGTCTGAAATTTTATTACTTAAAAGTCAACAAACATTAAAGAAAAAAATGCTTCAAGAACATTAAAATGTAATCTTTATTCTTTCAAACCTCATGTTAGTGGTAGCTATAGTAAATATGCATTCGTAACATATAAATTGGTACATAGTATACAGACAAAAGCCTAATCTGCTACAACATATTAAATAAGCAATAAACTAAATTTTATTGGTGTTGTATAGATAGCGATTATATCTTGCATCATGCAATGTGAGTATATCTATACATTGAAAGCATGCAAAACTCATACAAATTTACAATACACTTTCCTTATCTTCAGTTTGGTTTATTTGCAAGTGCTCATAAAAATTATTTGAGAATAAGAAAAGAAGAAATAAAATCTAACAATCAATGTCTTTTTTCACTTGTTAAGAGATAATGAAATTTCCTATTTATCAAATTACAATATATCTTAAGAGATAAAAATACACTGCACATCTGACAGAATGTTTTGAATACTTTTGGTTTTCAAAACCCAGTAATAAAAACTAATAATTCATCCTTTTAAATATACTTTCTCCAAAGGTTGTTATAATATAAAGATGGTAAAAGTTTGTAGGTCAAAAAGGGAGCTAATCATGTGTTTATTTTCAAAAGTCCTTGCACCATGGATTAAGATTTCATAGTTAAACAAGCTAATGAATACAGCTAAACTTTCTGTGATCAGCAGTGACGATTTCTATAAAATGAGGAACGGAAATAATTTACAAAATGGTGCGTAAAAACAAAAACGTGAAAGAAATTAAAGCATATCCTTAACAACATTTTTGAAGACTGCTTGTCATAAAATCAGAATTGTAAACACCTGGAAAAATGGGGAAGGGGAGATACATGTGTGTTTGTAATATATCTTTTTGTTGAATTGAATAAATGTGTCTTGAAATGAATGTCCTGCCAAAATTAACTGTGTTAGTAGCTGAAGTTTGCAGTTAGAGCTAGTTAGACACAGTAGGTTAATAGCTTACAGAAAATGGTAATTCTATGGCTATAGTTTACATCAATCAATACATGGATATAATTATGCAATTATGTATGTACCAGTCGTTTTTCCCGAAAGTCCACCCCTACTGTGGAAGCGAAGCTATGTTTGAATTCTTTGTCAATATACTGATGTAGAAAACAGGTTTTCCCCACCGCTGAATCACCTGTGAGGAAGAAACATACATCATTCAAATATACCAGTTTATTGTGTTTGGTTAGTTTTATCATAATTTGTTGCTGTCTACAGTTTGACTGGAAGTAACATTACTTACATAATGTACTCGAAAACACTGTGTAATGAACTAATTAAAAGCTAGGAAATAAATTGATCAAAAACCAGAGAATGATCAAAACAACTCCAATTTTTTCATTTATTGAATCATGCGTATGAGAAATTACATATCAGTGATTTATTTTTTTTTTTTTTACAATAACAGTAAAAACTGTCTAATCCTACACAGTGAGAACACCTGTGCAATCCATTTCATTGAGAATTCTGACCCCTTCATCCCTAACTTACTATGAATTCTCCATGTTCTTTCCTCTGTGCAATCTGACAACCTATTCTGAAACAAAATTCGAGACCCGGTGCATGTTGGGTTAGACAGGTTTACTGCAGGCAAACATGGGGCATTTTGACAACCAATTCAGACTTATGAAATAAAAACATTAAGGTCTTTCATTTACACAGAGTATATACATGGCTTGTATATATCAAAGAAGGAAAAAGTCTATCTAATCTTGAAATGTGACATGCTTAACTCATGTTTGCTTGAATCTCGTTCATAATCATAATTTGTAGTTAGGCCAACATAAATAATTTCTTTTTATCGTAATCCAAATAGTCTCTGAGAGAAACCTTTCATTTCAGGACTAAAGTAAATAAAGATATTTGTAAACAAACTCCATGTAGTTTAAATGAAATAAAAATATTAATATCAGAATATTATCATTACCAGTGCACTTTTCAAGGATCATTGCATATCTATAATCTCAGATGTAGAGAAATATAGAAGAGAGGAAAAAATAAAAATTTGAAACACTCCTGATTTTAATTGGAACATCAGCTCATTAACAACATTTAAAGCTTAAAAAGAAATATATTCTAAAGCTAACTTGCATATTTTCACTCTCCTAATTAATGTGTCAATCATAAATGTATCCACGTTGAAATCTGCTAGTCTTTCAATCAATAATACCAGTAATTCACTTTTTAAAAAAAAGAAACTATTGATTTATAAACTGAGAGCACTGCCTTAGAAAAACAATTATACTGAAATGGGCATCCATCTGTTATTTATATAGGAAATATAATCCAGTCTGTCCTTATAACAACAGACATTGCATTTTTTACTACTTTTCCTGCTGGTATGCTTTGGTGTCTTTTTTGATTGCCACATGTACTGACAAATAAATGAAGGAAAATGGATATTGATGTACTAAAAACTATAAATCCTGTCACAACAGCTTCGTACATGTATTACATTATACTTGTAACAGTACTTTAGTTCTGTTTCATCTGAGTCAATAATGTTATACATATCAGTGAAGTACATGTACTACATTTTTTGTACATCATCAATGATTAAATATATTTGTAACAGTACTTAAGTTCTGTTTTAGCTGAGCTAATACATGCAATTCTTTCATATGTATCAGCGTAGTACAAGTACGAAATCATCAAGGACTGAATATAGTAGTACTTTACATGGAATAGCCTTGTCCATTCTTATGACACAAGGTTGAAATAAAGCAGTGGTATTTCTTACATCAATACACAAAGAAATAATATAAATAACCCTATTTTTGCAAAAATACTTGAGGCCTGCATAACTGTATATATGATCATAAAGATGTTCTTTTTATCAAAGCTGTCTACATCATCTTGAACATTACTCTAATTTTATCCTTTTCCATCAAAATATCATGATTATAAGTATGTCCAAGTTTATGCAACAATTTATATGATTTAGGAAACATACTTACAAGCAGTCTTCGACAAATCCCGGGAGTCCGAAGCCCGGGACCTGGTAAAATTGGAAGGGGGCATGTGGAAACTGCATACTTACAAGCCCGAAGGGCATGTAAATTCTGAGGCCTAAGCCTCCGTATTATCAAATTAAATAATACTAATAACATAAAATGTACTTAAAAGTCTAATTTTTCATCTAAAGTTGAGCACCAAATAAAATTTTAACGATAGTTTATTCTACCGCGATTTCCAAGGAACTCTTTTGCAAAGGAGACACAAAAAGTATACACATTGAAAATAATACGTGACTTCCAAGGAACTATTTTGCAAAGGAGACATAAAAAATGTACAGGTTGAAAACAATATTAATGGCAAGACAATAGATCGATAAAAATGGATTTCGGATCATTTCCTTGGCATGAAAAGGCAAATAAGAATAAAATTACTTGATAAAATTCTGGGCATGTAAATATTTGTTCGGGCTAGCATAATAAGTGGTTAAACCTGCCCAAAGGGCATGTGCTGAAAAAAAGATTTGGCGAAGACTGTACAAGTGAGCCACATGCTTTTCAGAGACTAATGTCATACACATAATCAATCAGTCAGTGAATGACAACTAAACAATATATTTCTTTGATTAAGTATCCACCTAGCACTGTTATATAAATCTGCAGTTTTTTATCATAAAAAAGATAATACAAAGAAAACATCACTCAGTTCCTGCACAACATATATTTTTATGAAGAGAATCCATGTCTTCACTTTTAAATTGGTACCCTAAAATAATGTTTTTGGCAAGTTTCATGCTTCAACTTGTCAGGCATAAACACACACATACAGACATTCATGCAACATTTAAAGTAACAGGCAAATAGAAAATAGTTTTGCAGGGATTACCACTCTTTTTTCTCGAAAATCAATCCCCACAGTGGATATAAACTTGGCATGAAATTGTCTGTCTGTATATTGGTATAAAAAGCTTGTCTTCCCTACTCCAGAATCACCTGTAAACATATTGGTAGAGATTTTATGAGATAAAGCATCTTATTCCATGCTTATAATCTATAAAGAATGGGAACATTGAATCAAAATGAAACTCTGGCACTATATTGCAATCAATGCAGAGCTCTAATAAGTGATAATGAGATTACTGAACTGAAATTGGCATGTGGATTTGAGTGAAGGTATATACTTGTTAGACATTCATCATGTTCATCATATACATGAATATTGTCCCTGCATGACAAATTGGCCAATCAGATTAACCTTTGAATTACCATTTAGATGATTTTACTCACTTTTCAGTTATGACACACTGGTCACAGAAAAATCAATAACTGAAAACCAATTGTTGACTTTAACTGAATAGCAGACACAAGTTAGGAAAAAACTGTACTTTATCCATGAAGTTTTCTGGTGCATATACATATATTACATTTTATTAAATTAACGTCTGTCACAAAACATTGGAAAACAAATGCAATGATAGTTAAATTAAAGAGAAACTGCTTTTACACTGTAGGTTATAGAGTCTACCTCTGAGTACACTAAACCTGTAATTGTAGAAAAACAACAGGCATCAAAGAAAACTACATTGCATATTACTTTTGTACAGTTTTGCACTGCACACACAGATGACAAACAATTTCTTTCCAATATATCAGATTTCTGATACATTTTCTAACCCTAAGATCTCTCCGACTCTATTAGAGCCATGCTTGTTATCTCTTTTCATCCACGCAAGTAAATTCCGATTCATTTTCTGCGACACTGGTTGTCTCGTGCTAAAGGTCCATGTTAATCTTGGCTAAATCTTTACTATTGATCTCAGTCTCTTTATATTCACCAGTTCTGGGGGGATAATGATGAAAAAAATTCATTTGTGTTCTCCATTAAAGTGAAAGACTACTTTGTATAGCAATGAAGAGAAAGCAGAAGAGGATGTTGCAAAAAGTCATGAAATCTTTAAACTTTTTTTATCAGAGGTTGCGGGTGGGGTGACAGAGGGTCTCAAATGGCCTTTAGCTTCATGCTCATTAGTCTTCTCTGTTTCTAATAAGCATCCATAAACCAGCATACAATATAAATGGATTCAAAATCTGGTTGTGAAGAAAACATCCATTTTAAGAGGGGTAACAGTCATCTTTTGAAGAAAATACCCATTTTCAAATGATTTCAACCAAAATCAGGTTTTAAAGAATACACCCATTTTAAAGGGGTTCAAAATATGGTCATGAAGAAAATATCCATTAATTTTCAATGGGTTTCAAAATCTGCTTCTATGGAAAATTAATATCCATTTTAAAAGCCTTTATGGCGGCAAATACCACATACTTGTGAACAGGAACACAACAACCCCCCCCCCCCCGGGTCAAAAAATATTTTTATGTCTTTTTTTCATAAACTGTTCTTCTAGTACACATTTACAATGTATTCCATATGAAAAATCCAAAAAATAACGCAGAATTAACGTTTTCCTAAAAAATCAAACCCGCAGTATTATAAAATTATAATATCGTGGGTATGATTTTTATTTAGTAAAATGTCCACAAGTACCTGTGGCAAATACTAAAAAAAATATCTCATTTTAATCCCAAAAAGAGGAAAAATTGACAATTGCAAATCCAATAAAGATGTCGCAATATGTATTGCTATAGATACCTAGAGCCAAAAATTTGATGAGGTAGTCGTATTCTGCTGCAGCAGCCAGGTTGCCATGGGAACCAGAGTGGGCGGGGGAACCATTAGGGGGACCAATGTCCTCCATGGCCACTTCAAAGTCTGAAATAAAAGGAGGAAATTAAAATCAACATGGACAAATTTCATTAAGTGGATATCATTTAATTTAAGAATCATCATTTTTTTAAAAATGCCCTTGGTAATGGCTCAAATGTAGAATCAACTTTTCCTTTCATTTATTTGTATATGATCTTTGCCCTATAAGCATATAAGACAACAAGACAAGGATCAATGTGAATACATATATATCTTCAATTTAAAGTGTACAAAATTATAACTTAATTGCCTTTAACAATAGACATATATTTTTCTAAATGCTTCTAGGACTACATGTTCAAGGATACTGCTTTTTGAAAGAAAAATTTTGTGTACAAATTTCAATCAGAACCACAATTTTTGCCAAACTATATGCATGACCAATTTTTAAAAATAAATATGAAGCCTACTCCCCAGAGCATGCACAAAACCAGGAGATGCCTTAACTACTAAATACTGTGATATCATTAATTTCTGTGGGGGTTTTCATTGTTTTTGAGGTATGATGAAACCCACGAATTCATGTCCATCACAATATAAAATTTCATATACATTACTACTTAACATTTCAACAACCACAAAATCAAATCCCCCCAAACAATTATTTATTCCTCAAATCTCAAAAATTTGTCCACAGAAAATATGTGTGATTCCACAATATACAACCCTGGTAATTTGGGAACATGTAGCTTGGATGCAAAGATTAAATTCAGATGAACTTAGGTATCTGGAAAATTGGTATCTTGAATATGATGTATATATAAATTAAATGTTAAAGTGAGTTGGATTCCCAACCAATTTTCCTATAAGTATTTAACCTTGGTATCTTGAATCCTCTAATATCCCAGTATTTTATTTTTTCCCCAGCCCCACCCTGAGTTTAAGATAACAAGGTTTAATTGTTAATCCCTGTGCTTAAAAACATGATGTCATTTAATAAAAAGTAAGATTCTTTGTGAAGAAATCTTGAAACAGGATGAACTGTAGTATGGCAGACATGATCAGAAATAAATTGCAATTTGCATGCAACACCATATATATCTAGCATAACAGCATTGAGAATTTTGACAGCAACATGGTTATAGATTCAGCCAAAATAAAAATTGATCATCATTTGAATAAAATATTTTTTAAATTATAATAAATTGCATATAGAAGCATATTGTACATGTTGTATCTCATCAAAAAATTAATATGAAATATGAATTAAATACTGTAGGTATTCCTTAATTAACATGATTAATGACATGTAATTAAGAATGAATGCTGCATGATTTCCCCAGCATCATTTTTCACAAAAAGGTTGGCCAATGCTGCCCAGAGCATGTAATTTTCTGAAATTAAGCAATCCAAAATTGTTAAGTTTCAAATGTATTGACATCTGAAATCTTAAAGAGTAAAAAAAAAAAAAAAAAAGAAAAAAAAATAGTCTTCCACAAGTAGGGAGCTTATCACAATCTAACGATCCATTATTATTCATTCTAAGCAGGCAAAACTGGCAGACAAAACACTTCAGGGTCTTCAAGGCAATACTACCTTACACTCAAGGAAATGAAATCCCAGCTTCCATTTAAAGTCACATCACAGACATGATAAATGTTCAATACATAAACCTTTAACAAAGTTGGCTCAAATCTTAGTGTCTGGCCATACAGTATATAATGCTGTAGCAGTTTGTTGGTGGTTTAATCAAACTCCTCACCAATAAATGGTGGCCAAAGGGCACAGGAGTATTGGTTACAAACACTGGAAATAGCTGACGGTACACCATAGGGGAGTGGTAAAAATTAATAGTAATACAGAATCAATGAATTATTCGCTGGAAGATTCTCTAACACACGGTGCAGGGCTGGACAACAAATTGATATGAAAGTGTTTGCACTGACATTCAAATATTATCCCTCTGTTCACCTACATAAAATGTTGCTTTAATGCTTATAATTTTCCAAAAGAAAAATATTTTATGAATAAAATGCAACAATTTTAGCATAGCTTGCGGGGCAAAAATTGAACAAAAAGGCATTTATTAATAAAATTAACAAATTTATAAAGGAATAATAGACATTTATCCCATTAAGAGTCATCTCTCTTATCAGAGTATCAAAGAACCTTAAAATACTGCACCTTGGAACAATTTACATTTTTAGGGTAAGAGAGAATGAAAGAGCAAGAAAAAAATATTAAGTTATTATTAACCACTCAGTTAAAATGTATACGTACATTGTATGATAATTTTCCTCCAAAAGACTTCAATCAGAACTTAACAAAATCCATTTAAATATAATATAGAATTTTGTTTTATTTAATTTATTGTTTTTATGTTGATTATTTGGCAAAGAAACCTATTGTTCAGGCATGATAGGGTGACTTGGTGGAGTATAACCTTTTAATTAAAATTGAGACTATTCTTAATCTCTTTTTCCAGAACTTTATGAATGGTCACAGAAAAAATCAATAGGTGACCATGTATATTTTAAGCCTTGACATAAAGACATAGGGATTATTTAATTTGTAACGAATAGGTATGTGTATCTGATGCAATAGCAACTCCACTGGCATTTCCAAGAAGTGAAAGAGGTGACAGTAGCCTAGTGGTAGGGCATTTGCTTCATGAATGGAAGGCCAGGTTTGATTCTTGTTTGTCATGCTGCATCAAACATAAGGTAGTGACTGTTCCTTCGTCAAGCACCCAGCACAGTCACTAGAAGTGAAAGCCATGCAACTTTCCGATGAGACCTTAAAAAACCGAAGTCCCATGTTAGGTGTTAGCATGATAAAGAACCCTCAATGCTAAATGGCCATGAGTGCTGAGTATAGGTCTAAATTTGAAGCCCTTCAATAGTATATGGTGACGTCTCTATAAATTCTCGAATGAAAACAACATACAATCAATCGATCAATCCAACAAGTACATAAAAATAACAGGCATAAACATGGAAATAAATATAGTGACATTTCTTATCTGTAGAGTCTGGAGTTCAACTTCATTGAAAACATTGATATATCACAGAAAATATACTTCAGAGGGAACAATCAACTCTGTCTAGCCAATACTTTTATCAATTGGAAGCGACTCCATATTGTATATTAAATTTTAACATCCAGTTGTGTAAATACATTTGATGTGTATTTCCAATACAAAAGAAGATGCGATTTGCATTTCATGCAGAAGGTTCATTAAAAATTATTAAAAGAAACTCTATTTTGCACATGCTGCTAAAAATTTTGGAAACAAACTTTGCTGTCAAAAATTCAAATGCAGAGCAAGCCTATTGTAAAGTCCTAACAAATCAGACCAAGCCAGGATTCAAACTCTTGAACTCATACAAAAAAAAGTACACCACTAACAGGGCTACATGATACACCTGTCTCAAACTATATAATGCACATTGTTTACTTTATACTTCTGTTATACCTTGAACCTTAATTGTTTCAGAGAGGGCTTAAATAGGCAGCTATACAATGTGCTACCCAATCCATATCCAATTTCCTTTATAGAAATAAAATGATGCTTAAATTAAAAATAATTTGTTGGCTTGTGCAATTACGATACATGCATTGTTGATGCAGGTTATTGATTCAGAACCATAAACTTTTACATTGACAATTGTCTCTGCAACCTTAAAGTAAAGAAATTGTGGCTTTCACCAATGTTCACAAATCATTGTCAATGCACCAAGCATTCACTAAACATTGTCAATTCATCAAGACATTAATTTTTGTTTTTGTTTTTTCTTTAGAAAGAAGAACTGAAGTCATAGCCTAAGAAATAAACTGGTTATCATGATTAACACTTATGCACTGCATTTTCTAAAATCAATTTTAAATGGAATTTGAAAATCCCCATTACTTTCAGATTTTTTAAAAGAAGTCTCTTAGACTATCATTTTCTCCAGTGTATCTTGTCCATATGAAGAATTGCATTACAATGTGTCTGCAGCTGTCATGAAAAACAAAGCTTTGCAAGTAAAATAAGATCTAATGCTATTGCTTTTAATTTTCCCTCAATTCAAGACAAATACAAAGAAAATAATTTATTGCAACAAGATATCTTTCCAAGAAACCCATCTAACCATTTGTGATTAAAAGAAATACCCTTCTTTCCTCATGTTCCTCTTACCATATTCCATATAATGTACAACTTGCTAAAAACTTCATAAAAAAAGAAAAAAAAGACAATTGTTATTTCACATCAATTATATGCAAATTACTGTATTCCTATATGCAAATGAGACCTACATCAAAGTGAGGTGATTAATTAACTTGATTACACAAGTGGTTGATAATGCAGACAATTGCTGGCATAATTGATTTCCAATGGAATTATATCATTTAGAACCGTGTGTTGAATTGTGATGAATAAATAATGAATTTCAGGATAAAGAGTATAATATTTAACTCCCTGAATCTATCAATATGGAAAATACTGTCAATTTCATTAAATGTAATTGAAGTTTTTTTTTTTTTTTTTTTTTTTCAATTGGTTATCTAATTTTCCACTATGTGCTAAAACATTAAAACAATTATGGCTGTCACATATGATATGAGAAATTCTCTATCAAACTGGGAATTTATCAAAAAAATTATTAAAAAGAAAATTTAATACAATTCAAATGACATAAAAAAAAAAAAGAGAGTACATGTACTACATCTCCTTTTTAATATATATGTCAAGTCCATATACATCTAAAAAAATTAATTTAATCCATCATTGTCTGATTATTGAAAAAATTAAAACAACATAATTATAATTATACAGAACAATACAAGACACAGAAGTCTACCAACAATTCTAAATTCAGTCTGTTAGAATCATACCCTACCATACAAATTTGATGCTATGTACAACTTAAACTAACTTTTAACAGAAGTTTAAATGCTTAAACTCCTGAATTGTATTGACTTTGGGTAATGTATCAAGGCAGTTAGTATCAATTTCACCAAATGAATGACAGCCAAACAAAAATTCAATGTATATACAATATACCAAATCAATACACACATATTTTTTATACAGTTTCTAATTATTAGTTAAATTTGTTTACTTTATGGAAATTCAATGTTTTTAAATTGCATGCAAGATAATTCATTTGTTTGAGTGGCCATATTTCATGAAAAAAAATTTGCAAATTTTCAAAATTCAAGATCACAGGACATAAAAATGATTGATTTTTTCCCTTTTAAATTTGGAATAATTATGTTATCAGTCTAATAAGTCACTTTCCTTAGTCAATTCCTTCAGCTACATAGCTCTCCTAACAATATTATGAAGTCCATGTTTCCTAGGGGGTACGGATAGGGTCCATGGTCATTTTTCTGTTAATAAATTTACACAGAAATTTGTTTTGTTTGTTTATTATTGTTTAAAGTCCCTCTTGAGAATTTTTCACTTATATGGTGATGCCACCACTTGCCGGTGGAGAGCTGCAAATTTTGACCTATGCTCGGCACTCAGGGCAATTGAGCAGTGAGGGATCTTTTTTGTGCCAGCACCTACTGCGACATGGGACCTCTGTTTATACGGTCTCATCCAAAGGACTGGTCTCCATGTCCCACAGTGGGATTCGAACCCGCAATGTAAGGATCAACTTCTTACTTCGCGACTCTAGAGCAAACGCTCTAACCACTGCGCCACGTGGGCGACATAAATATTTAAAAACTCTTAAAATCCAAGGAGGAAGGGGGGTGCCTGGACCCCTCTGACCCCCACTTTTTTTTAGATCCCCATATGCAAGCAATAATCAAACAAAGAAATTCAAATCAAACTGGACTGCATCATAATTGATAATCAGAACATTATACATACAATGAAATATTGAGATAATGAACAATGTGCAACATATATGCAAACCCCTACCTCTTGTAAGATGTTAAGTATTTATAACAATCTTTTCCTTTAATTAAAGAACTTCAGCATGTCTAATGCAAACCAAATAATCCTCAATTAAATCCAATTTGACAATATATTAATCAAATAAGATTCACTGAAAGCATAGAAATTTGTCCCGTGGCTGAATTGACAAGAGCTGATACAGCAAGTAGACGTAATGATATGATTCCATTCATAGAGTCTGTCCAAGCTCTGTCACATTCTGACTGTCACAGTGTAAAAAAATCAATTAATCTCTCCATTTTGTCACCGAGTCATAATCGTTCTCAGCAATAACACTCTAGCTTATGTACCTAGCCAGTGGCATTTAATGTAGATAATCTACATAAATATTCTGAGTTCTCATCGGATCAGAAATTGATTTTTCTTTTGTTTTTTGGGGGGAACAGAATAATGGCAGGACTTTTTCGCACTCCCATGGGTCCCCCGTGACAAATTTTGACAGGGTAATTTGTGATCTTTATGACAATGGCCAAGATTGATGTATAGTTCCAAGACTTTTTTTATCATTTGTTGATGTGTCTTTTTCATGGTAAACTCGAGGGAGTTTTCTCTGGTGTAGGATATGAGCTTGGTTATCAGTCAGGGGCATGATGGAATCAAGTTATTCTTTAAAATAACTTTTTTAGGTTACTTCACTTATTTATTACTAAACAAAGAAATAAGTCATTTGAGTTAATTCTTAAAATGTAGAATGCCTATCAATTTTGCCAAAAAACATCAATATTTTGAGTTTGCTGCTGATTTAAGATGATGTAAGGCTGAGAAAGTTGTAAATATTTGTACTTCTTTTAATAGACTCAACAGACTTCATATCTCCTGAGCAGATATGATGATATTTATCAAAATATCATGATATTTTCAGGGAAAAATAATTCCATTTCATGAACATTTCAGAGGTCAATTACACAACTTCTGCCAATTTTGCCAACAGTGAGACTAATTTTCCTAAAATTCTTGGATATTATTGAACAATCTCTCTGTCTTACAATTTTTGTGCAAAGTTGTAGATTTTTGTGCAAGAGTTCTAAAGTGAGGTTGGTTAAGGTTGAAATAACTGAAATGAGTTATGATCTGTTGAATTTCAACTTGTTAATTCTTAAAGATAGATTACTTTTACTGTCATGAACCTTTTCCATCTACTTAATAACTCAAGTACAGCATGAATAAAGCTTTTCAGATACCAGTAGGTTTACAATAATGAATAGTAAAGTATCAATAACTGGGATAAGTTACTGAAGAAAAGCATAATCAGGGAAAGATAACCCAAAATAATGACATTCAATAACTTAAGCAAATTATTTTAAAAATAACTTGTTTCCATGATGCCCTTGACTGGTTATTATCAAGATTTACTTTTAGATAATGATATACATATAGAAAAAAAGACACCACAATAACATGAATATAGGCCCCTAAAAATTATATACATACTTAAAGTTGAATAACTATTTAATTAATTCAATAAAATTATTTCTGCATTTCAGAGATTGCATATAATTATTTTAATTTATAATTTTGATAATGGTAAAGATTTAGAAGGACAGTAAGTTTCAAAAATAATACCTGGTTTGTATGAGGAATTAAGCTTCTTCACAACTGAATTCTTAAACATCATATTTAATTTGGGTTTCATTTTCTTGGACAGAATACATATGGTACACTGTACATTGTACATATTCATCATAAATTTTATTATACAGAATTTATTTACATGTACATTAATGAAGACTTTTATTCATTTGGTGACATAGTTTTGCTCTTATTAAATACAGCCAGAATGCAGGAATTGGCATCTTCATTTTCAAAATTTTCTGAGGAGCCTCTTGTACCCTCTCCCAGCACCTACATGTACCCCTCATCGCTTTTTCAACTTGGCTGCTGGGCAACTTATTCATAAACAGGGCTAATAGCTAGGCTACAATTGTTTTAAAGTTTTAAAATCAAACCCTGCTAAGGTTCATATATGTGCATTGTGAACACGTCCAACAAAGTCAGATATAATGAATTGGGCAGCTTCTGTTAAAATATAAATATCAGTATATCATTTCAATTAGTAAATGGAAGAATTAGCACTAAATGGCATGACTGTGACAATTTTCTGAATTGATAGCTTAATGCATCCTGATTTAACGTTCATCAATGCACCAGATCCAAAATCAAATACATTTATTTCCTTTCAAATAGTCATGTTTCTTAAATTTCTAATGCCTGGCCAATGTCTTTTAATTTCAGTTTGAATACATTTGCCATTGACATATTTAAAGGCCAATATACAGTTGTAATCTATGAGCATGATGAGAGTCATTTTAGCCAATGAATAGCTTTCACATTTAAATAACTTTATGTCCTTTGCAAGGTCTATGAGCATTGGGTCAACCTGTGTACGTTACTGTTTTCCTTCTTTAACCTTACCAACTTTTGGGTAGTGTTTGACAAATCAAATTAAACTGTGTTTTCCAAAAGAACCAACTACCGGCCAAATTGGCTGCTTCAATTGATAAAAATGCCGCTTCGAAATAAAAATATATATATATATAAATTTAAAAATATCAAAATTAGATTGTTGTAAGGTCCATAGAGATTTGTCATAAACTTCAACCCAAAGTCTGTTACAATTGATATCATCTCTAACCTTTTACTTTGAAATAAAGGGAAAACACTGTTAAACCACTGTGTAAATGATGATTTTTCTAATTCAATATTATATGTTGCCTCATCCCTCATGTCATATTAATAAAGAAATTTGATTAAAAGGAACTAAATTGAATAATTCTTAATCAAATTAATAATTCATGTTGAACAGTTCATCCCCATATAGAAATGTGTTATATTATTTTAATGTGTAATATGTTGCCCCATTCTATGATACTATTATATATATATATATATATATATATATATATATATATATATATATATATATATATATATATATATATATATATATATATATATTAAAGGAATGATACAAAACTTTACAAAATTGTTTGAAGGCTTTAAGCATTTACAAAGGATATCGTGAGAAAAAAAGTGTCACTTACACTAGATAAGTTTCTGCTTACACTGACCAAAGGGAGACAACTTTTAAGAATACTTGGCATGAAATAGGGCCTACATATTTTGCAGTGTGCTCAACATATTACATACGCGGCTAAACTAATATTTCTAAAATGCGACCGATGAGAAAGAGAGTAATATTGTGACAGTTGAACTTGCTTAATCGAGATATTTTCCTACTCTTGTAACACACGGCAACAACAGACAGGTCGGGAAAAAACATACAAAACGAGAACATCATATTCACTGCAATGCATATTTGAAAAAAAAACAAAAAAAACAAATTTAACAGATTGTATAACAAAATAACTTACCTGAACAATAATGCTCTTTTATTTATCTTTAAAAGGGGTTGTCATTTGGCGAGCTTTCACTTTTAGAAATTCCGACACGTCAAACCGGATATTGTTGAAGAGAACTAATTAAGCCGGGAAAATTTAAACCGGTAAGGTTAGACATGTACATTCCGGGGGAGAAAATTACAGACTTTTAGCTTGATCTACAGCCCATCTGTATACAATCTTCTATATATGCCAAAGTAATAATTAAATGTTTAAATATACATAATGTAATCAGCTAACTCTTGAATTCATACAACGGATGCAAGTGAAGTCCCCCCCCCCCTTTCATCGGCCGAAAATTAACAAACACCACTTTTGTCGGTAGAACATTTTAAATTTATAATGGTCGTGAATAAACATTCCAAGGAACCTTAAAATCATTTTTTTTTCTATACCTCCACACTCATATCCTTATCCGAAATCAGTCTATATGATAACAATTCAAATAAGTTTGTATAATTTAAATTTTGGCAAAAATATTATACACTAACTATAAAGAAAATCCAGAAAAAAATCTCTTTTATGTCTAAAGAAAACTGAAGATATATTCCACACTGTTGCTGAAGAAGATGGTTTCATCATACCGAGAGAGAGAGAGAGAGAGAGAGAGAGAGAGAGAGAGAGAGAGATGCGATTCAGCAAAAAGATGATAGTCACCGAAGTTCAGGGACATGTTTCTCTTGAAGTGGCTATCTGCTGGTCACAACGTGAATACATGCATGTAAAGTACATCAACCTATAATAAATGCCAGCGACCTCTTCTGTTCTCTAAATTCCATTCCTTATCAATAATCTGTGAGTATACTACTATTTTTGGGCAGTTCTTAAAATAACATTTATTCGGTGGAAACAATCTACATAAAATCTTTTTTCCCCTTCAAAATCAGGTAACTGAAATTCCCGTCAAAGTAATAAAATGAAAAAAAAGTTACTTAAAAAAATCGCTTTGCATATATCTAAATATAGAATTACCCAGTCGTTCAGCATTTGTAATTATATATGTCACTCGATCTTCGATATTTAATTCAGCAAAGGGTCAGAATCGCTACCTTAGATCCCCGATATCTGTATATAGATGTAAAGGGTACGATCCCATATGCCCCTCCCCCACCCTCACGTGTACGACTGTCAAAGTAAGAATTATTGTCACTGTGCGTCTATCACGACCGAATCTTTTCATTAAATAATAAAATAAAAAAAGTAAAATATTAAATGAAAAATATTCGCCAAACTCCAGGAGAGCATTATTGTTTCCTGTTGTGGATATTTACCCTGATTGGAGCTTCAATTGAAAATTATGTTTATATGTATAGTAACGTTACTTGTACCGCACTGAATGAAAATTCTAAAAAGGATATGATGATTCGAGGAGGTCCCACCCCTATCCCTGCATGCGAACGGACTCAAAGTTTGCACCTCACAGAACAATATACTGAACCACGTGAAATACAATACAATTAGAGTCTTGCGGGGAAAACATTAATTCCCATCACTTGGAATTTCTTTTATCCAGTATACTCCAGATATTCTTACTTTCACGCTTTCACTGTCTCAAAGCCATACTTGATTTTGTTCTTGAAGCCTCACTCATCCATTCCTATGAGAATCAATGAAAGCTGACCACAAAGGGGCCCTTCTTTATATACTATATTTTTACTATACTCACAAATGCTGAATATTGATCTGATTTATTTATTCTATTTTTACATTTTTTTTTCAATTTATTGAAAAATAGACCTCTCTCCTTGCTCAGCGTAATAAGATATCATATTCACTGTTGACAAATACCAGAGAAGTCCTATCCTAAAGACCTTGGAAAGCATGTTTATATAGATTATAAATAAAACAATGTCGCTGACTTATAAGTTAGATAAGAAGGTCATTCCAACATGTTTATATATAAATAAATCTGGATTTTATTGCAAATTGCAGTTACATTTCTGGCACCAATTATCCCGACTTGAAACATGGCTCTATGGACATATATTATTTTGATATGTATAAGTAAGTATTATTTCTCTTAAATATATTTTTGCGGAATGACTATATTTGTATCTCCTCACTGAATTCATTTTAAAAAGTTTCATTAAAAAAAAAAAAAAAAAAAAAAAAAAAAAAAAAAAAAAAAAAACTTCAATAGGGAGATAAAAAAAAGGGAAATCAAGTCGTATGAGCTATTTGATAAAAGAGAGTTGGTTGTTTAACAATTTTAAAGTTATCCTCAATTGGCTGAAATAATTTCCTCCTATTGCTTATATGTATTCAATCATTCTGAAGTTCTTAACTATCAGATAACTGTGGAATTCTCCGCTGTCAAAAACTTTCAGCAAATTCACTTATATACATTAAGTCCAAGAAAGACAAGATGGACTCGGATCATTTATTGGCCCCTGATTTTGGGATCACTTTACACTAAGCAATAGTTCACACATATGTAGCTACGTACTATCTTTATGTCCCTTTGTCACCCCTGTTTCAAAATGGATATTGATTTTCAGTGATAGCTTACACAGGTCAAAGGTCACTGGGGGTCACAAATTTGTCAATTTTCGATATTAAAAAGTTCCATTTTTTAAAATCAATTTTACGGGACATTTTCGTTCAGGGAAACACAGTGCAAGCTTTCCGACCTACCTAATTTACATATTTCATATACATCTAAGCATGAAATTTCAGACAAGCTTGTGATCTGTGTTCCCCGAACTGAAATGTGTATACAATTTCATCAGAATGAACAAAATTAGTTAAATTGATGTAATTTATTAATCTCTGTTTCAGCTTGAAATAAAAATGAATGCAGGTTGTCGATCAAACAAGCATCATTTGATGTTCTCAAGTACAAACTATCACAATTTAACTGCATGTGTTTTGATTCTGTTAATATCAAATAGGAGCATATTTTTTTGCGATAACCATAACTTTTCAATAAAATTATCCATTTGTTAATTCCATTTGAATTATTAGCAAACTTGAAAATGATGCTACACTTCAAAGTTTTTTCGCATATATTTTCAAGAACGAAAAGCAAAACTACATTCTTCAGCATTTGCAAAATGCATGTATATGTATAACCTTCTTTAAGATAAAGAAATTAAGTTCCTTTTTTTCCGTCCTTCATGTACATGGAATAGAGTTTTCGATATACTGTAGGTATACAGTGAAGATGAAATGTTTTGAACACCTTGCATTTACCTTTCTTCTTCAAAAGAAGAAATAATCAATTTTATTTTATTTTTCTTATTTTTTGAATAGCTACCAGTTGTTTTTGTGACACCTGTGTTGACATACTTCCGGATTGCCGTGAGTACACTCGCACCGCTTGTGAGGCCCCCTACCGGCTGTGGGCGTATCAAAACTGTGCTGCTTACTGCGGTTTTTGTCGTGAGTTTTAATTTTGAAATATACATGTACTTCATAAATTCAGATAAGAAAATATAATCTTATCTTTGAAAATGCTCCTACATTGTGATTTTTTTAAAAATCAAATTATGTATTTATGGAATCCTCCATCGTCAGTCTAGTATCATTTCCTGCAAACAAAATTGAAATATTATAAAATGATCTGACAGATGATTCTAATTTCTCCAGGGAAGCCATGTGAGGACGTCATTTCCGACTGTGATGAGTACGGAAGCAGCGCTTGTAAAGCCCCGTATGTTTCATGGGCGATAAGTAATTGTGCCAAATATTGTGGATTTTGTGAACAAAATAAACAGAGTACGTCTTCAATAACTTCAAATCCTTGAAAAATATAATTATCAAAAAAGAAAAAAAAAATGGAAATGATTTGCTTATTCATAAATTTGTATTTCTTAAACATTCACAGTGACAACTCTGACCCCTTATAGCAGAGAAGTTATAAATCATTTTCCTGTCTATCACCTGTCAATTAGTTCATCTTGTGTTTTGTGTATCCTTATTCATTTTTCATTTAATGTTCTTTTTTTTGTTCCTTAGAAGCACAGTGTAGCTATAGTGATTGGATGACAGTTTCGGATTGTTCCGTAACTTGTGGCAGTGGCTACAAAACAGAAGTTAGGTCATTTCTTAAGGTCAAGGAGAAAACGCCAGGATCAAAGGACTGCAAAGAAGAACTTGAACGATATACAAAATGTGAACTTGACCCATGTAAGTACAACGTGTTTGTATTGGGAATTGTTAGACGATTTTCATGGAGTATGACAGCAATTTCTATCTATAGCTTGTAATGACATCCTATACATGTAACATTAAATTATTTATTTTAAATACTTGACATGAATTACTTTATAAGACATTCGAAAGTTCATTTTTTAAGGAATAAAGTATTATTTGCTGAAAAAAATAATATATATATACTCATGTTTCGTCTTTCCAGGTCCTGAATAGACAAAAAGCATTTCATTTGACAGTCTCATTTTCTCATCTTGTAGTACATGTACATCGTATTCTATTTTCATATGTACATATTTCATTGTATTGTATTTCAAGTTAGTAAAACTGTTAAAAATCAAATTGTCCTTTCTTTTTAAGTTCAAATTTATTGGATTTCATTGTGTAGAAATAAACAACACACACTAATGAGTGGAACGTGGAAATTCACGAGTGGGATTAATTTACGATAAAAGACAAATTTTGCGTAAATATTCCCCTAGCTGTGTAATGACGCCTTTATACATCTTATTCAATTTTAACAAACATAATTCTGGTATCGCGAAATAAACACCCACACCATGCACCCCCACTCCATACGCGTAATGTTATGTGTTCTTATTCGCGTAATTAACAATATACATGTATATAAATATCCAAGTTTACAGTACATAATATTTCTTGAAAAGTTGTGATTGATGTGATTTTTTTATACATCACATGTAACAGAGAGATAGCAAATACAGAAAATTTAAGTTGAAAGATGAATTGGAGCATTGACATTTTTTAGCATGTTCATTAGTACTTTCTGAGAGGTTTCAAATCTGTTAAAAGATTGTCATAAGAGCAATTGTTTGGAAATACATTGAATGTCCTGAAAGAAATGTTTTTGATGTAAAATAATATATATATATATATATATATATATATATATATATATATATATATATATATATATATATATATATATATATATATATATATATATATATATATATATATATAAAACATACTCGTACTATTATCTAAAATTTTATCTATGATAGCATGAACCTTCTAATCTTAAATGACCCTTATTTGGAGACAAGTATTGATTTGGATTAACGGCACTCCTGATCAGAAAGGACCACAAAAATGGGGGGGGGGGGGGGGGGAGATTCATCGAAGACTAGATTGATTTCTTCTTTTTCATTTGCATCTGAAGAGAAAGTTCTAGTCTGCCTGTCCTCGTTCGATTTTTTATTTAAAATAAATACATAATGCTAGTGCAGAATGAAGGAAATCTAGCAGAAAGGATAGAATGTCCATAAATTAAAATTTGTATTATAATATTCAAACAACTCTCCATGTAATTCATAATGGATGATAAATGAACATTCAAAGCATTTTGTATTTTTTTTTTCCTACTGAAACTAAGAACATGTAGCCTTTGAATATTATACTGAATGTATTGTTATGAAAACCACATGAAAAAAAGGAAGGTAACGAGGGAAATGTACACGTTCATCTAACAATTTATTGTACCAGTCCATTTATCTTCAGTCCACATTTTGAGCTTTAATAATTTCCTCAATGAGATTTTGAAAAGCTGCAGCTTCATCGGATGCGGACCGTTTCCCAAAAGCAAAAAGGGGTAGAACGGGCAACATTTCTGCAAACAAAGCTCCGATAGCACCGATAACTCCTGCTGTTCCCACAGCTGCACCGACATCTACTGGATCAATTGCGGGAGGCCTAGGATTGTGATCAATTACAGGGTCAGGTATGAAGACCGGTGTCTTCTCTGTGACAGTAACGGGGGTCTTTATTGTTACTAAATCTGGATTCACAACTGGTTCTAAAACTTTACCTGAAATGTGTATTACAAACAATTTAATTTTAAACTTAAAACATAAAAATGTATGTACATGTAATGATGATTTTAAATTATCACTTCATATAAATGATTGAAAATTTGTTAATATATATGATATATTGATACTTCCCAAATTTTAGACCATGAGTTGACATTTCATCTTATCATCTCAATCTCAGTCACAATTTGACATGAACGCAATGTCGAAAGTAGACAGTGACATGTTTCACTTGACAAAAACATTGCAACTTAGTTTCAATAATGAAAAAAAATTTATATTGAGCACAACAATGAATCCCTGAATGTAAGCAATCAGATTAAAACATTCTAACAAATACACTCATTTCATTGAACTCAGTTACATGGGCTAGTGTTGCAAGGTTTGCTCCTGAACAATGTGTCATTACAATCCTTTGACAGAGGTGTACCATTCGGAACTGGATGTTGAGTTCTTCTTTGTATGGTAAAACCTGTTCCACATGACTTTGAACACGGAGCCAGTGTCATCCATGGACTGTACAAACACTTACCTTCTACAATTTTCCAATAAAAATTGAATGACTCGTTTAAATAAGAGAGATAACTCACGTTTGATTAGTAATTTTCGTCTTTCATAACCGTTTATCTGCTAAATTTTATGTCTCAATGTTTACCCTCAATATATGTATGCTGATTTTTTTTTTCTTTTCTTAAATTTCCATCTTTTTTTTACAGACTATACCAGAATTTCAGATATTTTCACGATGAAGTCGTTCACCTTTAAAAGCACCTTTACAGCTGTGGGATGCAATGTCATTAAAACAGCATCCCATGATTTCAAATATATATAATGCACGGAAATTTTTAGGATGAGTAATCATGAAGCACAATGGGATGAGAATGCAAAGTAGAATTGACCATTACCTGCCCCACAATAACCGCAGTATTCTGCACAGTTCCTCTTTGCCCATGTTTCATACAGTGGTTGGCACATTGATTTACTGAACTCATGACAATCACTTCTCTTATTTTCACACTGCTTACCTAGTGGAATAAAAAGTTTATGTTCTAATTGGGATGAACACTATTTATTAATTGGTCGTTGTTATGTTAATTCCACACTCCTTGCGTGATAAGTATTTTTTTCAGTTCTGTGTATGATTAATTTATAAACCCAGACAGGCTACTAATACATAAGTTGATATTAGCGGTTTTTTATCAGTCTTGTATAAAGAGAACATTTTAATATTTCTATGGTCATTCTTTCACAAGTTCTCATACAAAGAATACATTTTGTCCCACATAGAATCGAATGGTTGCCTATCCATTCTTTTTACACCGTAGTTGTATGGTATGATACCGAATAAAATATGCAAGTTTAAGGATCAGGCAAACATGCTCTGTGTGCTTTTTGAATGACCTTGGTGGCAAATACAACCAATTGCAGGGTCGAATTTCAACTGATTTATTTCATAACAATTGTTAGACTGTTGTTTACTACACGTTAATTTTGACTACTGATAATCAATAAAGGCGTGAACGTTCGACAACAGTTGGTTTCAAAATGTATAACTCCTAGAAATCTGATCCCCTCTGATGTTTTCGGGGGATCCGTGTTGAATATGAGAATTTTTTCACTCATATGGAGACGCCACCACTTGATGACGGAGAGCTGCAAATTTTGACCTATACTCGGCACGTAGGGCCATTGAGCAGTGAAGGATTTTTTTTGTGCCAGCACCTACTGCAACACGCGTACGGAACCTTGTCTACACGGTCTCATCCGAAGGATCGGTCTCCACGTCCCACAGTGGGATTAGAACCCGCGACGTAGGGATCAAATACTTACTCCGCGACTCTAGAGCAAACGCACATAAGATATGAATTAAACTATAAATTAGATACCTTATGATTTTTCGTTTTTGTCCAAAACGATTTTTGACAATTAAGAATACTAATGTTTTACTTACGACAGAATCCACAAAAAGCTGCACAGTTCTCGTAGGCCCAATTGGCGTACGGAGGTTTGCACGAATCTAAAGTATAATCTGCACAGTCTGGAATTTTATCCATGCACGCTTCACCATGGCAATACTTTAAAAACCCTTGCATATATTATGGAAAATGTCATTATGAATGTTTACAATGTTTACAAATTTCTAATTCCAAAAGGTATATGTATAAAACAAATAAAAAAACAATAGAGATTGGAGAGAAATGGAAAAAAAACCCATGAAAACATAATTATTTTAATATATATATATATATATATATATATATATATATATATATATATATATATATATATATATATATATATATATATATATATATATATATATATTAATTTCTACATGCAGATCATTGTATATTGTTGCTTTTTTAAAATTATCCGTTTGTAGAATTAATGTGCTTTTAATAATTTGTTGAAAACTAAGAACTAAATACATGAATTATCTTTAATGAAGACATTTAAAATCAAGGCCAAGACTCTAACTTAATAATTTAACGTCATTCTGAAGTCCTAAAACTTTGAAACCTACCTGCATATGCAAGACAAATGGTAAAACTAATAGCAGTCCTCATTATAACTCAATAACTCAAGACACTGATTTTCTTGTAGAACCTCTATATATTGAGTTATTTAGGTCACCTGTTATCTTCATTACCTTTGGGATATAATACGATAAGTTTCTTATTGGGCATAAATGAACCAATAGACGCAACTGGTTAACACTGGAACAGGAAATTCTACTTTGCCTACGATAAGATTAAAGAGATGAAGACACTGTTCCCTCCTCCCCCCTCCCCCCGATAGTGCACACATTCTCTTGATGACTTGATCATAGACTTTTCCGACATATATACATATTTCATGGTTATGATGAGCAAAGGTTTCTCTTCCAAAATTGTGAAATTTGTGGTCCAAGGGTCAGGGGAGGAGGATTATTGATTATTTAGTGAAAATGCATTATTTTCTTATATATATATATATATATATATATATATATATATATATATATATATATATATATATATATATATATATATATATATATATATATATATATATATATATATATATAATCTTCTCTCCTGCTACTTGGTATTAAGCAAACTAAATTTGAACATATTTATGATGAGGAAGCGTGCCTCTTCCAAAATTGTGTATTTCATGGCTTTTGGGTAAGAAAAGGATTCTGGTGTTAGGGCGGGGTTGTGTTGAATCAGTAGTGAATATGCATTAATCTTTGAATATCTTTTCTCTTCCTGGGCAACTAGGAGGCAAAGAGAGCACAGGGTTCTAATAAGCAAGGCTATTTTTACCAATTGTTTTGAAATTCTGGACCACTTGGTCAAGTATTCTGGTGCTTGGCTGGCCTCTACTGATTTGTAGTCTATT